TTCCATAATTATCTTTGGCACAGGCTGAAACTCCATGAGGTCAAATTTCTTAATTAACTGAGGCACCAGAGGGGAGATGGGTTATAAGTTCTAATAGGCCAGAAAGTAGGGTTGGGTCTACTGGAAGAGGATGGATCGCTAGGGTGGAACTGGGGGGGAATTCAGCACCCAGGCTCTGTCCACAAACACTCTGCATAGAGCTTAGGTGTAGGAGAGGAGGCTGTGAATTTGTGAGTAGATGCTTTATATGGTGCAAGGAGATGAGGATCATGAACTCCTCATTTGTTCTTTCATTCATTCATTCATTCCTTCTCCTATTGTGGACTTTCATACTAAAATTGAACCTGGAGTTTGGGAAATGTAGAACACAAAACCATTACCATGCAGTGCCTGCTTTCAAGGGTCTTGTCATGTGTCCTGCACAGACACTGACTTTTTCGTTGTACCATTACTAACCATTTCTTGAGCTCAGTCTTCACTCTGAGAGACCTTGATTCAGTCTCTTCTCTGACAGCTGGATTCTGCAAGTAGAGAAGAAAAGTGCCCTGGAAGGCTGCAGGGATGAGATTCTCCTCCCATGGACACAGACTCTAGAAATATGCAGACTGCACTTAAAACTTGAGTGAAATTTTTTACTCTCAAGAGACTTGGCAATTTCTTAACTTCTCTTAGCCCCTGTTTCCTCAAGAGGGGATAATCACAGATGAGCTTTCAATGATGACTATTGAGCTTGATTTCAGTCATTCCTAGGTGTCTGATGCAAATACTGATGTCCAACTAGATAGAGATGCAGTAAGATCTTCTGCCCTAACAGCCAGTTTGTTCTGCTACTGCTATGGGCTGCAGTCAGTGGGCAGCTCAGCATGTGGACTCTGGGCCACACTGCCTGGCTAAATTCCTGCTGCAACTATTTGTTACAACAGGAAAGGGAAATCTCTCAGTTTGCCTACATCTGATGTGGGAAAATAGTGGTATTTCCTTCATGAATGGGTTTTGTAAAAGTGCTCAGCGTAGTCCTCAACACAAAAGTAATTTCATTGCCTTGGCCAATCTTGTGGATTTTACTGTAGCTTATTTTATTCCATAATTATCTTTGGCACAGGCTGAAACTCCATGAGGTCAAATTTCTTAATTAACTGAGGCACGTTGCTGTAAATATTCATTCTTGTTTCTCATTAGTAATATGAACTCTTTCAATTTGAGAAGGACAAGTTATGACTAGTGTTCCTGCTAATCCTCAATTCTTATCCCAGTTGCTGGCACAAAAAATAATCTCAGAAAATGTGAGTGTG